TGTAACGTCGTAGTCGTTGATGTCTATCTCCACATAACAGTACCAAGCTTCAATGCTATGAGGCCAGAATGGAAGGAGTTGAAAGTTCGTGGGTGCAATAGTCCTAATCTAAGCAGCACAGTTAAGTGTTCCGACATGATAATATAAGAAAATATGTACATGTGCAAGATTAAAAATGAAATCAAAAACGCTGGCAGGACATGCGAATTGTATAACAAGGAACAGACCCACTCACTGATTGTATCAGATCACAACTTGCTCACCGGTAACGATGCCACGTGTATTCAGATTTGAAGAAAGTTCTCATCCGTAGCACTTTTTAGTCGAAAATGACCAAAGCCATGTCAAACCAGTAACCACCAATACTAGGGACCAAAGGTAAATTGGAACGATAGTTGGGATTTCGAAGAGTGGAAGGACTAAGTATACTGGTCTTTACCAGAAGATGTGTATACATTAGCACGGCGTACTAACAGCGATCTCGTGGAGATGTATGACCGAGCACCTTCACCAACGATGCGCCTATACAACCAATAAGGTCAGCAACAATGTAGAAGAGTTACAGAGTTGATCATACCGGAGATGATATTACCACCACCAGTACTTAGAACCCAAATCATAAGTTAATTGCAGTGAAGCAACTCAAATGTCCCATTAGCCAAACTACTTTATTTGTTAAAAACTGTATATGTTTAAGTCGATTTTCTTTTAGTCCTAAGGCTGAAAAGATATTTTGGCAACTAGCTTCGCCTTGGAGTATCTCGTTGTATTTAGCTGTGTTCTAAGTTATTTCTTCCAGTTATGAAATGGTCATAATTTGTTGGCCTTCATCACTCTTTCGGCCATGGGTGTGTAGAAGATGCTTTCCCATGGCCGCGTGGTTTGTCTTAGTGTAGCGAAGGTAGCGAGAGATCTCTTCCTCATCTCACAAACATTTCGTTTCTGACCATGGTAATCATGACCACGCCATGGTCACTACTTCCTGCTGGTATAGGAACATTGGCATAGTCGAGTGCGGGCTGATCATTTGTTAGTGAATAACCCAACTTTGATGGTTCTCCGTCATTACTCTACCTAGTGACATCACACATATATTTGGTCTCCAAAATCTCTAATGGCTTTGACAAGCGGCTTTTGGAACCGTCTTGTGAGAGTTGTACCCTACTTGAGGAGATTTAGAGACCGAGCGTTGAAGTCCCCAGCTGGTAATGCTTGGTTGAACTCCTCGAGCAACCCATCTACACAGGCTTAAGTACCCGAAGAGGGCCAGTAATTACTATCAATCAAGTACTTGGTACCACTCGTGTTGAAGAAACACCAGTATGATTCCGTCACTTCAGTTGGGTAGGGTACTGGTGTTACATCTTTGAACAGGTTGCCAGTGTGCAGTCCCAATTCACCTCCCATTTTCTAGACATCAACACATCTGAAGCGCATCACACTCATCAAGAATACTTTGTCAACTGCAATGTCCTAGAATAGCCAAGTTATGGTTGGAACTATGATATTCAATCTCGCCTGAAGGCACATGTTTCTGGTTCATTCTGATTTACCCCCTGGTACTTTTACATTACTAAAGAGGCGAATGATGGCTTGTATTGTCACCTGGTACGCCTACGTATCAGCATCCGTCCTTGAATTTTCAAACAAGCCGATTAAACCGGGTCGACAAGATCTATAAAAACTGACCACTGTAAGGTATTTGTCTGTGAATGTATTCCATTCCAGTAGTCTTTACATTGTGTTTCGTAGGTTGTCGTTTGAGTACAATCTCCATCAACAAAAACTTCACTTGGCCTTCCTGATGGTTCTTGCTGATCTAGGTCGACACTCACGACATATAATGCAACTCGAGAGTTCATTTCTCGCGCTAAACCAAGCCCGAAGCTCATCACTTAGGTCTTTTCGGTTTCTTAAGTTCACAGTTATCAGGCACAGAAACTCAATGGTCGTGAGGTGTGACGGATGAACAGCTTGTTAATATGAAGAGCCATGATGTTATGAATACCTATGCCAACT